AGGGATGTTAAGAGATAACCGGTAAAATTGAATCGAAACCAAAGAAGATTAGTTATAGTCGGTCGGTTAGAATTTCGGTTAACCGCAATAGCCACTACTTGGAGACTATAGAAGAAGCTTTTATTGCGTTGCGTGTTTGTTTCTTTCTTCTTCAGCCATATTGCGATAAAAAAAAAAACGATATCCGACGAGCCATTCCGTGATTACCTCGGAAATCTCGAGAAGTTTCGATCGATTTGTTTTTAGGGTTTTTATCTTCTTTGATTGATGAATCTCTCAATCTAGTTTTCGTTTGATTCATAGCTTTAGTTTTCGAGTGATGAAACCAATCTCCGTACCAGAGGTAAAATTCAGATACATCTTGTGGGTTTCTTCTTTTCGCTTTCGATATGATGATTCTGGGTTTCGTTCGGTTTCCCAATCTGCAGCTGTTTGATCCTGTGGCTGGTAGGATATTACGGCGTTTGTAGCTAAAAGGTATGTTCTGAGTTTCGAAAATTTCCAATTTTTTTTTTCTTATCGGAATCTGAGATTGGTTCATCATTTTCTGGTTACAGCTCGCTTGGATAGAGTAAAAACGACGAGATCACCCTTGATTTCTTGATTGGTATTTTGAATTGCTTCCCATATTTTTTCTTGTTCCGTTTTCTTGGTAGCCTATGGTCTGTGGAATACGTTCTTAATCTGCGTCCGATAGTGTAGTATCAAGATGAGTCTTCTTGCGTTTTCATATGAGAAATAGCTGAACAACAAACTGCATAATCTTCTTGAGTTTCGAGGTTCACTGAAGAAATTCTTGTTCTTTTGATGCTTGCAGTGTTTCTCAATTTATGCATCAATGTTGACATTTTTTATTTTGATACGTGTGATTGTTTGGTATTTTCAGTACCTGAATCTTTGCAACAATGTCTGAACTAAAAGACCGCTTGCTTCCTCCAAGACCTGCTTCAGCTATGAATCTCAGAGATAATGCAATGTCTCGGTCTTCTGCTTCCGGAAGAGCTCCCCTTCTTGGGGTTGATGTCTTGGGTTTGAAGAAGCGTGGACAAGGGCTGCGTTCGTGGATTCGAGTTGATACTTCTGGCAATACTCAGGTCATGGAGGTCGACAAGTTCACTATGATGCGTAGATGTGACTTACCAGCTCGTGATTTAAGGCTGCTTGATCCTTTATTCGTGTATCCATCAACCATCCTTGGCCGAGAAAAGGCTATTGTCGTGAACTTGGAACAAATCCGCTGTATTATTACTGCTGATGAAGTTCTGCTCCTGAATTCCCTTGACAACTACGTCCTGCGGTATGTTGTTGAGTTGCAGCAGAGACTAAAAACAAGTGGTGTAGGTGAGATTTGGCAGCAGGAAAATGCCCAGTTAAGTAGGAGAAGGAGTAGGAGTTTTGACAATGGTTTTGAGAATTCGTCCCCTGATTATTTGCCTTTCGAGTTTAGAGCTCTTGAAATTGCCCTCGAAGCTGCCTGTACTTTTCTCGATTCCCAGGTTAGTAATTTTTATAGCTTTGATTTTCTTTCCGCCTAAGAAAACACACCAAGGCTGGGCTTAGATCTGACTCCTACACACTAAGTTGATGGAGTTGTATCCTTCTCTATAGGCTTCAGAGTTGGAGGTTGAGGCATACCCGTTATTAGACGAGCTTACCTCAAAGATCAGTACACTAAACTTGGAACGTGTACGTAGACTAAAGAGCAGGCTTGTAGCACTGACAAGAAGAGTTCAGAAGGTTCGGGATGAGATTGAGCAGCTAATGGATGATGATGGAGATATGGCAGAAATGTATCTAACAGAGAAGAAGACAAGAATGGAAGGATCTATGTACGGTGACCAATCCTTACTGGGTTACCGATCAAATGATGGTCTATCTGTTTCTGCACCGGTCTCTCCTGTTTCTTCTCCACCTGATTCCCGGAGACTCGATAAAAGCTTGAGTATTGCGAGGAGCCGGCATGACAGTGCTAGGAGTTCAGAAGGTGCAGAGAACATAGAAGAGCTAGAGATGTTGCTGGAAGCTTACTTTGTCGTCATTGATAGCACTCTAAACAAGTTGACATCGGTACTTAAACGCCTCCTCTATCTTTTACTTTCGATATTTCTTTTCTTGGCAGCTTTAATCATATGTGTCCCTCTCTGTGCTTAACAGTTGAAGGAGTACATTGATGACACTGAAGATTTCATCAACATTCAATTGGTAACACCTTGAAACCTTTTTCATATTCCACAGCTGAGTGTAAAACCATAAGAGTCTGCTGAGAAAAGTCTTTGATTTTTGCAGGATAATGTGAGGAATCAGCTAATCCAATTCGAATTGCTTCTTACGACCGCAACATTTGTTGTAGCCATATTTGGGGTAGTTGCTGGGATCTTTGGCATGAATTTTGAGATAGATTTCTTCAATCAGCCAGGTGCATTCAGATGGGTACTCATAATTACTGGAGTCTGTGGCTTTGTCATATTTTCGGCATTTGTCTGGTTCTTCAAGTATAGAAGACTCATGCCTCTATGAGAGAGAGAGAGGACATGAATGTGCCCCCGAGAAAGTAGACAACAGCTTCTATTAGTATGTTGCTTACGCAGTAATGATTTGTTTTCTTTGCACAATGAAAACATTGCCAATGCAAATGTGATAAAATCTTTCTCATTTTATTAGAATCAGGTAACCAAACATAGTGCATCAAAAAAATTCATGAAAATGACTGGATCTGAACCACAAAAGCCTGAGTTTTTTTACTTGTGTGGTGTAATAATCATTCACAGAGACTGTAAGTGCATCAAATTCTTCAGAGTTCAGACCACTCTACTTGTTAGATGATGGAGACGATGAGAGACGTGCTTTTCGCGCTTTATCGGCCTTGTCCATGTAATCTTGGTGAGACTGATGCTTTGATCCTAAAAGACAACCAAGGAAGTTTAACGGATTAGCTCAAACAGAGTAACACTGTGAAATGGAACAAAACTCAGACGCAGCGGATTCAATCAGGTACTATTTTGGAATGTTGGAACTTAAAAGTTGACTCTAGATTGAAATCAAAATGTTTCTCATTTTGCAACAAAGTCAAAGCCATAACAATTAATTTCCGAACCCAGAATCCAAAAAGAATCTGATTCATCTTTCTCATCGGGAAGAAAAAAAGGAATCGATGAGAAATCGAACCTTGAGTCATCAAATACCAAGGAACTCCGAAGATTAGAGTGATGATTCCGATCCCAACCATGACGTGCTTCTTCTCACCACTGTAAACGTAATGCTCCATTTTCGCCCTGAATCCTCCACCTCCGGCCATACTTGCACCACCATTCATCTTCGCTTCATTTCCCATTCTCGATCCCGATTTGCTTTTCCTTACCACTTCCCTCGATCAGATTACTTCTTTAGGGTTTATCAATTAGAAAGTATAAATGGGCTTTGATTAAGGCCCATAAACATTAAACTTTCTCTTTTGTTGTATATAACATTTTAGACTCCCTATTTTGTTACATATTAGTGTAAGAGCGTTTAACCCAAAATACGCGGCAAATACACGTGTCACTCCGATCTATTCAAGTAATTGTTTGGTCATTAGTGTTGAATTAAAAACTAACCTTCACAACGATCGAAACTCAAGGAGCAATTCACCACCCATCTATGGTACGAAGTAAGAACCCTCGATTTCTTCTTTCTCACGTTTTTTCAAACCCTAGATCTTGTAAGGTCATACACGTTTCAACATTATTGCAAAAATCACTGTAAGTATTGGGAATAACAACAGATTCGGATCTTTTCCAAATGATTTTGATATCATGTAATCAAGATTTGTGTTGAATGATGGTTAGGTACATTTATTTCGAAATCAGCGTTAGCATATGTGATTGTTTATCAAGAAAATGTACAAATCCCAATACATAAGCGGCCAGAGAGAAAAATTCGTAAGGTAAAAACCAGAATTTTTCCTTTTGTGTTCTTCAGATCTATGAATGTTTTTCAAACTTATTAGATTATTATAGGTTAGATGATATAGATTCAAGTGCTTCTCCTTCTACTGGAATGATGATGAAAAGAAACTGTTTCGGATTTAACCTAAAGAATCGAGGAGGAGAAAAAAGGAAAGCATCGAAATCTTTCAGGGAAGGAGTCCAATTCGGATCAGAAGGTCTGATAACGATCGGTAAATCGGTAACAAGAGCGGTTTTCCCTGAAGATTTAAGAATAACAGAGAAGAAAATCTTCGATCCTCAAGACAAAACACTTTTGATATGGAACAGAATGTTTGTCATTTCTTGTATTTTAGCTGTCTCGATTGATCCATTGTTCTTCTATCTTCCTATTGTCGATAACTCGGGAAGCAGCTGTATAGGGATTGACACGAAACTCGCCGTTACAACGACGACTCTTAGAACGATCGTTGATGTTTTTTACCTGATCCGAATGGCTCTTCAGTTTCGTACAGCTTATATAGCTCCTTCTTCTCGTGTGTTTGGTCGCGGAGAGCTTGTCATTGATCCTGCAAAGATCGCAGAACGGTATTTAACCCGTTATTTCGTTGTCGATTTCCTTGCAGTGCTTCCATTACCGCAGGTGAAAATTGAGTCTAAAATCTTTTGATGGTTACTAAAAATATTGGATTTTTAAGGATTGATTGTGATTTTTGTGTGGATTTGCAGATTGCAGTGTGGAAGTTTCTTCACGGATCTAAAGGAACAGACGTGTTACCGACGAAAACGGCGTTGTTGAACATTGTAATCGTGCAGTATATTCCGAGATTCGTTAGGTTTATACCGTTAACATCAGAACTGAAGAAAACAGCAGGAGCTTTTGCTGAAGGAGCTTGGGCTGGTGCTGCTTATTACCTACTCTGGTATATGCTTGCAAGCCACGTAAGCGTCTCTATATATGTTTCTTCTTCTTTAGGTTTCAGACATTTAGTTATGATTGTGTCATGTAGATCTCATTTAGATTATATTTTTTGCAGATAACTGGAGCGTTCTGGTACATGTTGTCAGTAGAACGTAACGATACTTGTTGGAGATTCGCGTGTAAAGTCCAGCCAGATCCGCGGCTCTGTGTTCAGATTCTGTATTGTGGGAGCAAATTCGTGAGCAGTCGCGATACGGAATGGATCAAAACAGTCCCTGAGCTACTCAAGAGCAATTGTTCTGCTAAAGCAGATGATTCAAAGTTTAACTATGGTATCTATGGCCAGGCTATATCTTCAGGCATTGTGTCGTCGACGACATTTTTCTCCAAGTTCTGTTATTGTCTATGGTGGGGTCTTCAGAATCTCAGGTAAAACATGTCGATATCGATGAATGAACCGTTAGTTTGGGCTGTAGTTTTGATATCTTTGGTGTTTCCTTGAACAGTACGTTAGGTCAAGGGCTGCAAACAAGTACATTTCCAGGAGAGGTTTTGTTTTCCATCGCGATTGCTATAGCTGGGCTTCTTCTTTTCGCGCTTCTAATCGGAAATATGCAGACGTATCTTCAGTCACTTACAGTTCGTCTCGAGGAAATGAGGATCAAAAGACGCGACTCGGAACAGTGGATGCATCATAGGTCACTTCCACAGAACCTAAGAGAAAGAGTCAGACGCTATGATCAATACAAATGGTTAGAGACAAGAGGAGTCGATGAAGAAAACATAGTCCAGAGTTTACCTAAGGATCTCAGGAGAGACATCAAGCGTCATCTTTGTCTCAATCTAGTTAGGAGGGTAAGTCTTCAGAATCATATTGCTTCAGATTTCTACAAGGAACTAGCTAACTGTGTTCTGTTTCTGTATAGGTTCCTCTGTTTGCTAATATGGATGAAAGATTACTCGACGCGATCTGTGAGAGATTAAAGCCGAGTCTTTACACGGAAAGTACTTACATTGTGCGTGAAGGAGACCCGGTTAACGAAATGCTCTTCATAATCCGAGGCCGGTTAGAGAGTGTAACAACAGATGGAGGAAGAAGCGGTTTCTTCAACAGAGGTTTACTGAAAGAAGGAGACTTTTGTGGTGAAGAGCTTCTGACATGGGCACTTGATCCTAAAGCAGGCTCAAACTTACCTTCTTCCACAAGAACAGTGAAGGCGCTTACCGAAGTAGAGGCTTTCGCTCTCGAAGCTGAAGAGCTTAAGTTTGTAGCAAGTCAGTTTAGGAGACTTCATAGTCGACAAGTTCAACAGACTTTTAGGTTTTACTCACAGCAATGGAGAACTTGGGCTTCTTGCTTCATCCAAGCTGCTTGGCGCCGCTATTCGAGAAGGAAAAACGCTGAGTTGAGACGCATC